AAGGGCCCCTTTGTGTGCCCAGCTTTTGCCAGACAGAGACAGAGCCGAACCCAGCAGTCCTGAGTGGGGGTGGGTCCCTGAGGGGTCCTCCCAGCCCATGAGCAGCCACCCCAGAGAACAAAGGGCGGGATTGAGCTCAGCTCCTGGCTCTGGGGGGGTGAGCGGGACAAAAGAGCCCGTGCTATGCCCTGGGGGCCTGCAGGGAGCTGGGCCTTGGTGCCTGAGCTCTCCCTTTATGCTCAAGGAAGCTTATGCCAGGAGAGTCCACGGGAGAGCCATCCCGGTGTCTGGCCCGTCTGGGCCAGTCGATGGAAATGGGATCCTCACCCTCCTTGCACAGATGACCCAATGTCTGCTCAGCTCCCTGTGCCCAGGCCCCACGCCTACTTCCCTCCTGCACCAGCATTTCAGTGCCCAGCACAGCTTCCACCAGGCACAGGCATGGGCTGTTACCGCAACCAGGAACTGCCAGGATGCTGGTCACTGCCGGTGTGGGACTGGACGCCCAGGGCAGGGCTGATGCCATGCTGGCGGGGGGCCGACATCGCCTCTAAAGTGCCCTCTGGGTTTCCACTGATAGCCAAGTCCAAGTGGGCAGGGCCAGCGGCCAAATGGCCTCAGGCTAGGCAGCGTGGGGAAGGAGCACCAGATGGGAGACAGGACTCCTCCAGGCACTTGGCTGCCCTATGCCACTGCAGGGCACTCTCAGGGCAGGACCATTGGGTCTTCACCCTGATCTGTGCCAGTGGTCATGGGGTTCCCACTCCTTGCCCAGCTTCCTGCCACCTGCGGGCCCACATGGGCTCAGGACCACGGGCCCATCACAGCTCCCACCTAAGTAACTCTTATCCCCAAGGCACTGGGGGTGTCCCCAAAAGGGCACCCCTCTTGGACAGATGAGTCCTGGCCTGAGTATGCCCCTCTGGGGGTGACCAGCTCCCCGCATGCAGCTGGGGTGGGCCATAGGGCTCTACAGGCCTCCTGGCCTCCAGCCCTGCTGCCACTGCCCCCATGGCCTGGCAGACCCTTGCCCCATCTCCTTGCTGTGGCCCACGGGAGGTGGTGGCAACTATGTGGATGAGGCTCTAACTTCAGCCCACAGCACTTGGCAGGAACAGCACAGAAGGCAGGAACAGGGAGCATAGAGGAGGCCCCAGAGGACTTGGGGTCCTGCAGGACCTTCCAGATGTACAGGGCACAGAGTGCAGTAAGTCTGCCTCTCCATAAATGCGGATCTGAACTTCTGGGGCCACACCTGAAGACTGACTTGTGCCATCATGGACACCCCACCCGGGACTCAGTTACTCCCCAGCTCTGTGCAGCTCTCAGGAGGAGCTGGCCCTGCCCTTCTCCATGCCGGGCCACCAGCTCCCTTTTCCCCAAACTCCCCAGCTGGCCAGGCCTCAGGGCGACACACCATACCCGGCCATCCTACCTGGCCAGCCCTACCTGGCAGCCCCTCTCTCCATTCCAGCCTAGCCCCAGTGTCCCTCTAGGCACGTGCTTGTTGAACAGGCCTGCACCTCCTCTCGTTTCTGGGGAATGGGCCCTACAGCCAGACAGCCCCGGCTCCCACCCAGCCCCTCCCTGTCCTGGCTAAGCAACCTGGATAAGTGTCCTGTCCTCTCTGTGCCTACATTTCCCTGTGACATGGATCTGATGCCAGTATCAGTGTCCACCTCCTGAAACCGACCTGGCAGTTACTGGCACCTACTATGTGCAGGCCTGCACCAGATGAGACAGCTGCCCCCAGCTTCTCTTTCCCTCAGCACTTAGCACAGCAAGCCCAGTAAGGGCATGTCCCATGGAAGCTGGACTGTTGGGGGTGTCCAGGGTCTGAGGGTTGCCCCCACTGCCAGGAGTCCCCCGACAGGGCACAGGGGCCCATTCTGCCCCAGGCCTGGCCAGCACAGTGTGGCTGTGGCTTACGCAACCCTGGCTCACAGGGGTGTGAGGGGTGAGTCAGGTGTAGAGTGCTGCTGGCGAGGTGAGTAGCAGGTGCCAGTATTATTTGTCACCTGACCTCTGATGGGGTGCAAGAGGATCCACAGGCATGGTCCCTGGTGAAGTCCAACTATAGGCAGGAGGGCCAGGGGCAGCCATGAGAAGACCCCGGCAGGGACTGCACACAGCCCTGGGAGTGCCATGAGAAGACCCCATGAGAAGACCCCGGCAGGGACTGCACACAGCCCTGGGAGTGCTTTTTCCTGGCGTCAGCAGCTGGGGCACCCAGGCAGGGGCAGCCGGTGCCCCTGCTGTACAGGTGTCAAATAAAGGCAACACGCGCTCTGGAGAAAAACGGAAGCGGGCTTAGCGTGCTCGCCGCTTTTGGCCTCCGTGTTTCCACATGCGTTAACGGCCTGGTGAGTGGAGGTAGAGGAGAGGGCTGCGCACTGTGGGGAGCTCATCCCTGGCCCTGGCGACCCCCGCCCGAGGCCCCGCTCCCCCTCCTTCTGGAAGGTTCACCCGCTGCTGCAGCGCCCGCCCTTAGCAGCCTCGTTGCCCTGGAGACCCTGTCGCCATGGCGACGGCGGGGGGGCTGACCGGGTAGACGGGGGCGGGCCCCAGCCTGTTTCCGGGTAAGCATTGGGGAGCCTGGGGACCCCTAAGTCGGGACCGTCCTGCGCGGCCGCCGCGGGGTGCCGAGTCGGTTGCACGCACCCCTTGAGGAGGGGCCTGAAGATAGCTTCTCAGCTGGAGCACAGGCTTGCTTAGCCGCCTCCTCGGCTCAAGATCGCCTGAACTGCCCTGGAGAAGTTCAGCCCCAGTCGCTGGCTCATGTTTCCTGTCTCCTCCAGCGAGGGCTCATGGGTGCCCCTACCCGTATGCCCGGTAGGCCCGGCCCACCCGCCCGCCCAGAAGGCTCCTTTGCTGGGGAGAGGTACACCCCTAGCTGAGATGTACATCTGGGAGGCCAGGGGCCTCTGCACCCGCCCGCAGGGCCTGTCCTGTGGTTAGATACGGCCCAGTATGTGTCTACCTGCCCAGCTCAGTCCTGTGTCTTCAGGGGCAGGGAAACATGGACCAAAAGCCCGCTGGACTCAGGGCCACAGCTGCAACAGCGGATGAGGAGAGGGAACTAGCTTTGCTGGTGAGGACTGGGGTGCTGCATCATGGTCTCCCGGCTTCCTCCCCATCTTGTACCAGGAGGGGTGCAGGGGTACCCCCAGACCCAGGCAAAGGGAGTAGCACCTGTCCTGGGTGGCCCCTGCTGTATGCCATGTCCTTGTCCAGCAAGTTCACATACCATTCAGACCTGCAGCTAAAGCCTCCTGCTTTTCAAAGTGGGCAAACATTTCAGGTCCATGGAAAGTGTTCCTGTGGCCTCTGAACCTGAGGCAGGGGACCAGCTCTTAGCCTGGATAGAGCTAACAGCCTGGCCTGGGGGAGGAGGGACTCAGCAGCCTCCTCTGGAGTCACAGATGGTCTTAGGAAATCCCTGAGGACTTCCTGGAGGTGGGTGCTGAGGCTCTGGGCTGTTTGCTGCAGCTCCATCTGCAGCTACGGACCTCAAAATTAGGTTTGTGTGGGTGTGCATGTTCTGACATTTGGAAAGAAAACCTCAGATCAAAACCTTACACTTTTTGTAGAACAGTAAAAAGCATGTCCCTGCAAGTACTCATATTGAAGGCTGAACGCCCCCTCGAGGACTCGGGATGGGGAGGGGAGAGTGGAGGCGGGCTCCAGGTCCTTGCTAGTAAGGACTGGAATGGGGCTTGTCTTTGAGTGACATGAAGGTGCTCTGGGCTGGTGGGTTCTGACTCCAGGAAGGCAGAGCCCAGATTGGGCAGCAGGTCAGTCCTGTCCAGCACCCCCCTCTCCTGCCCACGGGAGACCTTCCAGCATGAGTGGGCCCTGGGGATACTCATCCCTGAGGAGCAGATCTCTGTTTTGCCCTCCAACCTCATCAGGATCAGGACTCCTCATCAGGGATCTTGGTCTGGGGGACAGTGTGGGCCAGTAGGGGTTTCGGTGGAGACAGAACAGAGAACCCTAAAAGGACTCAGTATTGCCTGAAGAAGGGGTGCTGAGCTGGCTCTCTGCAGGTGCATGCAAATATGTGTAAGTCGCGAGGAGGAGGGGCCTTCCTAGTGGTGGAGGCTGGGTGGACCTGTATTCCGCCCAGCCCACTGCCCCCTGTGGGGCGGATCCCCAGCCAGGAAGGTCTGAAGCCATGGCTGCAGGGGCCAGGCATGACAGAACCAACCACATTTTCAAATGTGCACACACACCAGAGCCTGCCAGTTCAAGTTTGATTTAGGAGGGGTGCTGCTGAGGGATCCCCAGCCCTGGAAACTGCTCCACTGCCTGTGGGTGTTCATGGTCTGGCCAGAGAGCCTCCCTGGGCACTGCGCGTCCCCTTGGCTGTTGATGGGATTGTCTCGCTGCCAGGATGAGACTCGAGCGCCATCTGGTGCTGAAGAAAACCAGCCTGCAGGCTTCCCGGAACAGCACAAATGCCTCCTCCAGCCCTGTCCATGAGCCCAGCGCTGTGTGAAACAGTGGGCTCAGCTGCGCATGCCCACGCTCCTGTGCCTACCCACACGTGCAGGCCAGTAGGGTCCAAAGGGCTCGAGTCACGTGCCCTGGCAGCACACCACGGAGATGGCCAGAAGGAATCTGAAGCCTATACGTGCAGCTCACAGCGGGATCCCTAAACCTGGAGCCTGAGCCCATTGCCCTTGGGTCAGACCAGGTCCCTCACAGGCAGCTGGGGCCGGACATTGGCACTGGCCTCTTAAGAACCTCAACACAGGCTATCATCTAGGACTAAGGGTTTCCTGGGCATGTGCTGCCTCGGTGTGGCAGGCGGCTGCACGAGCAGTTGTACCATATGCACATAGCACAGCCTCACTTCTCCTGGCGCACGTTTGTGAGAGGCTCCTGGGTAGGTGGGGTGGGGTGACCAGGATGGCATGCAGGCCGGGGTGGGGCGGAGTGACCAGGACAGCTTGCAGGCCCCACCACCGCCTGCACTCTGCTTTCTGACTGCAGGAGTGGCTGCGCAGGTTTGGCTACCTGCCCCCCTCAGACCCTGCTGCGGGGCCACTGCGGACACAGGAGCTTTCGCCGGCCATCATCGCCATGCAGCGCTTCGGAGGCCTGGAGGCCACCGGCATCCTGGGTCAGTTACGGGAGAGGCAGGCACCCAGCCTGCCTTCTCTTGCCTCCCCAGGCCCTGTGCCCCTCCCACCTGCCCATGGGATGTCATGGGGCTCCCCCACCCCAGGGTCCTGTTCGGCCCGTCTCTCCGACTATACCTGACTGCCCACCTCGGGCCTGCCCGCCAGAGGGGACAGGATCTGGCTTCCAGTCAATCCTCCCTCACCCCACAGAACGCCAGTGAGCACCCAGGACCCCCACTTGCCCAGAAAGACCTGAAATGTGGGGTTTGTGTGGGCACCCCACTTTCATATGGTGGCAGTGAGTCCTAATTCTGTCAAGACCCTCTGCAGGGTGGGCCTAGATGCTCAAACCCGGGGTCCTGCAGACCACAGCGAGGTCACACAGAGTCTGCCTGCGGGCTAGGGCGGGGGTCTGGGCGGTGGGCACCTAGCCTGGTGCCAGCTCTCAGGAAGCTGCAGGAGTCCTGGGGGAGGTGAGTGAGCTGGCCCAGCTCCTGACCTGCTACCTTCCCCCACACCCTCACAGACGAGAGCACCCTGGCGCTGATGAGAACCCCACGCTGTTCCCTCCCTGACCTCCCGGCAGCGGCCCCTGTTCGAAGGCGGCGCCAGGCTTCAGCTCCCACCAAGTGGAACAAGAGGAACTTGTCGTGGAGGTGGGGGTGGGGCGCAGGCAGCGCACCTCAGGGCCTTCCTGGTACTCAGTGTCCTGAGGTACCAAAGAAACATCCACAAACTGGGGCCCCAGGGGTGGGCTCTTTCTGTAGCCCACAGTCCCATGTCTGCTTTTGTCCTCCTGCACCCACAAAACAGCCCTGGTGAAGGATCCACCTAACCCAGGGCCACCACGTGCCAGTCCTCACCACCATCCACCTGCAGAGACACTCTGTCCAAGTAAGGCTGCTCACTCTGCTCCTCAGCACCCAAGAGTTTGGGGGACACTTTGGCCCACCACCCCAGGCTGGTCCCGGAGCCCTGCTGCTAATGCCTGGGTTCACCACCCACTCACAGGCCCCCAACCAGGACATGATCAAAGGACCAGGCAGGCAGGAGCAGGGGTGGGGGCAGGGCAGCTGCAGGTGCTGGGGCTGGTGGCTTCCTGGGACAGTGATGCTGGTGGAAAGGGCCTCTCCCTCCTGAGTGACCTCTGGGATCTCTTCCCATCAGTGCTCCAGGCACACTTTCCGACCAGAGAGGGGCTTTTAGGGGTGGTTGGTGTCCACTGCTGTGACCACCCACCTGCCTACCCACCTGCAGGGTCCGCTCCTTCCCCCGGGGCTCGCCCCTGGGCCGTGACACAGTGCGGGCTCTCATGTACTACGGGCTCAAGGTCTGGAGCGACGTTGCCCCACTGGATTTCCACGAGGTGGCCAGCAGCACTGCTGACATCCAGGTGGCCTTCTCCAGGGGTGCACACAACGACCGCTACCCCTTCGATGGCCCAGGTGGTGCCCTGGCACATGCCTTTTTGCCCGGGGACCTCCTGTCCCCGGGGGATGCCCACTTCGATGATGATGAGGCCTGGACTTTCCGCTCCGCAGGTAGGTGGGCCACACTGGCTAGACTCAAAGGCCACCCCCCATGCCCTTCGCCCTGGGGCCAGACAGCCAGCAAGGCCTGCAATGGTCACTTCAGGGGGTGCAGGAAGGTGCCCATCCCCAGGAGTGGAGTGCAAGACTGGACCCAGGAGTGCCAGGTGACCCCCAGGGCTCTAGGAGGAGGCCAGAGCTACCTTGCAGGTGCCCACTAACCTGGAGGGGGCCGTAGACCTGGATAGCCCCCACTTACTCCCATGGCCATAGCCCTCATGTTAGCCAGCCCCCACTAATGACCCCACTGTGCCTAGACGCTGGTGGCCTGGACCTGTTCACAGTGGCTGTGCATGCCTTTGGCCATGCCCTGGGGCTGAGCCACGTGGCATCGCCTGGCTCCATCATGCAGCCCTACTACCGGGGTCCGGCAGGCGACCCGCTGCGCTACGGGCTCCCCTACGAGGACAGGGTGCGCATCTGGCAGCTGTATGGTGAGTCTCTTCCAGGGCCACTGAGGCTCACCCAGACCAGACCCCCCGGCTGAGGCCCTGGAGAAGGGGTGCAGTGGGTCCCAGTCATGACGTGTCAGGTCTTAGGAGACCCTGCTGTCCACCCAGCTGTCCCTTCTGTGTGTGGAGGGAACCCATAAGGGAATGATGTGCCAGGGCCTGGGGCTTGGCCCCGCTGGCCAGGAGGTGTCCCAGCCCTGCAGCAATGAGCTTAACTGATATTAGGGGTCCACCCTTCCCGGCTGGGCCCAGGCACACCTGGGAGTCTGAGCCCTGTCTCAGGCACCCCCACCACCACCACGACACTGCAGTCAATCAGCGGCCCCTCCCCTGGGGCAAGTCGTGCACCCCACTACACAAGGCCAGAACCTTCCCTGCTGCCCCCCAGAGGCTGCCCTGCAGGCAGGGTCCACCAGGCTCCTGCCTCTGGCACTACCCATGAGGCCTCAGGCTGTGCGCCCCAGTCAGGTCCCCAGGACCCAAGTCAGCAGGTGCTCAGTGGGTGTACCACCTGCTCAGGGGTGGAATGGGGGGGAGTCATGTATACAGGCTTGGCTTGTGAGGCCCCTGTATGTCCACCTGAGGATGCCTCTGCAGACTGGAGCCCCCAGGGCTGGGAAGGAGTAGGAGAGGGATGGGTGTGGGGCCTGCCTGGGGGCTGGAGCCTCCTTGTCTCCACAGGTGTGCGAGAGTCGGTGTCACTCACAGCGCAGCCAGACACCCCAGAGCCCAAGGAGCCTCCCCTCCTGCCTGAGTCCCCCAACAATCGGTCCAGCACACTGTAAGACATGGCCCCTGCCACACGCTGTCATCCTGCCCTCTTTGCAAGCAGCACCCAGCAGTGGCTCTCGGTCTTCAGGCTGGAGCAGGGCTCCGGGCCGAGCCCCAGGGACACTCCTTACAACTGTCAGGAATCCCTGCTCACCCCCTCTGTCCTGGCATCTCCTGCTGCATGAAAGCACCCCTTCTCCAGTTCTGGGTTCTGTGAGGGGGTGGGACAGGGCTGGGGCTGCCCCTATGGCACTGGAGCTGGGGCAGTGGACTGAGCATCTGTCTGGAGCCACGTGTGAGACCGGATTCCAAGATCCCAAGGCGGTGTCCTGGGAGGGAGTGACCAGAGGCCAGGGGAGTCCAGAATCTGCAGAGGCCACCCCATCTGTAGAGGCACAGCTGTGGGCCCCGTTCCCTCCCCCAGAAGACTCGGGACAGACCACATTGCCCTTGGCTGCATGGGGCTGCTTCCAGAGGGTATGGGCGAGAGCTTTCAGCTGTCCACCATGGTGTCCACTGTTTGGCTGGCCCCAGCCCCAGGGTACCAAGAATGCCTACTGTGCTAGCCACACTTGCTGCTGGCCCCTTCAGGGCAAACATGCCACCCAGGGGTTCTGCTTCCAGAGAACACAGCCCCCAACTCCACACATGCCCCACCGTGGCAGCCTGCTTCCCTCTTGGGTACAGGTCCCACGGGCTCCCCACACTGCACCCACCTTGGCCGCATGCCTGGCTGTGCTGCCTGAGTCCTGAGCTGGCAGATGCTAGGACTGGGGCTGTTCCTTCACATGAGCAGCCTGCAGGGCAGTCCTGCCAGGCCTTGCCGAGGTCAGTGGAGATGGCAGCCCAGCGTCTCCATGTCTCCTGCCCTCACTCCCTGGGCTTCTGGGGGGTCTCTCCCCCAGCTCACCGCTGCAGGCTCAAGCCCTGTCCCTCTGCTGGGATAGACCTGGGCTCCCCCTTTAACGCTTGCCTGTTGTATGTGGGCCCCTGCGGCCATGAGGCAGGACTCCCTCCCGGTTTTGCTATGTCCACCTCTCTCCGGGAGCTCGGGCATGGGCCTGACAACCCACCAGGCTCTTTCCACCCCAGGCCCAGGGAGGATGCACCCCACAGGTGCGACACACACTTTGACGCCGTGGCCCAGATCCGTGGTGAGGCCTTCTTCTTTAAAGGTAACCTGGGTAGGGGGTGGGAGTGGGAGGGGAGGGAGGGTGGGGAGGGCCTGTCCCCCCCCCCATCTGCAGCGCCTGCTCCTCCTGCAGGCATGTACTTCTGGCGTCTGACCCGGGACCGGCACCTGGTGTCGCTTCAGCCGGCACAGGTGCACCGCTTCTGGCGGGGTCTGCCACTGCAGCTGGACAGCGTGGACGCTGTGTATGAGCGCGCAGGTGACCACAAGATCGTGTTCTTCAAAGGTGGGTGGCCCAGGCTGGCTGTGTGATACGGCTGTGCAGCTCAGGGGCCCGGGAAGTGCCGTACACATGTGTGTTCAGCCTGTGGCTGCTGTGAGCACCTATTGTGCGTCCCGCACCAGGGTGCGCCTGACAGGACTTGAACACCTAATGTGTGCCCCACATCGGGGCAGGCCCAGCAGGTACACAGGGGCAGGAGACTCTGCCCTCAGAAAGGCCAACTGGAGCCCCTGCAGCCAGCGGCCTGGTGGCAGGGCTTCTTCCTCTGCCTCTCCCTGCTCATGGGGCCAGCCTGGGCCATCTCTGGTCTGTTCATCCTCCTGCTCCATCCTATCGGTGGCCCCTGTGTCCATGTGTGGTGGGGCTGTGGGTTTTGGGGGGACTCCAGCCTGCACAGCAGAATGTACCCCTCTGTGGAGTGGGCACCCCAAGTGCTCTGTGCTTGCTTCCGCCCTCCCTGGCCCGTGCAGGAGCCTGGCCACCTGGGCCTTTGCTGGGCCTGAGCCCGGGCTCACAACGGTCAAGTCTTCAGAGCCACCCAGAGGACTGGCTCCCTGCCTCAGTTCCCTCAAGTGGCTTGAACCTTGAGCATAGTGAACAGCCCACCTCCTTCCACGGGGCTGTGTAAGAGCCACTGTCTCCAGCCATTATGGGAGAACTACCAGCTTCCCAAGAACTCTCCAGCTGTGTGTGGGACCATGTGCCCCATGAGGCCTGGGTTCTGTGGGTACCCGGGACTCCCTCCACCACACCTCAGGGCCATGTGAGGGCTGGCCCTCCAGCCCACAAGCTGGGGGCCCCATGTCCCCAGAAGATCAGCCTGTGCGGGGCTGGCCCTCACGCTGGTGTGACTCTCACAAGGGTGTCCCCAGCCCCACCCAGATGCCCATTGTCCCCAGGGCCATGAGCTCCCCTGGCCAGCGCTACTGCCAGACCCCATCAGGCGCCCCCTGTCCCTCTCACATCACCCATGCAGGCGTCTCACCTGCTCCAGTCCCAATGAGAACTTTATGGGTATTTAATTTACTTTTTTAAAAAAGACTTAGCTATACATAGAAGAACTAGGGTACAGGCCAGAGGTGTGGGGATGAGAGGATTCACTAGAGAGAGAGTGGGGAACAGAATGGGCAGACTGACTGAAACACTGCTGAGGGGAGCAGCAGGAAGACAGGAGAGGTCTGCTGTGTCATGTGGGTCAGCTCCCTGGCTGGGGATTGAACTTGTGCTACTGTGGCTGTGGATAGTTTCATAGCTCTGAGACTTAACCCCTTGTGCCACCACGGATTTTCTTTTAATTGTGGTTAAAAAAAGCCTGAGCTTCACCACCCTACCGTCTCAAGGCCACAAGCCAGCAGCCTGAGGCTGTCTACCCCCATGCCCATCCCAGAACATATCCAGCTTCCCCAGCAGACACTCTGGTCCTGGCCTCCCAGCTCCAACCCTGCCGCCCTGCTGGGCTCTGATGGGGACTCCAGGGCCTAGCACAGGCAGTGCCACACGGTGTCCCCAGGGCACTCTGGGCAAGGTCCCAGCCTCCTTCCCCTTGGGCTGATAGTGCCCTGTGTGGATGGCCACCGGGAGCCACACTCAGCTGCAACACTGCTCTGAGCGTGTGCACAGCACGCCCACCACGCTCCCCCTGGGGCTGGGGCCGGAAGTGGGTCCCCAGCCCACGGTCTGGCTCTTCCTCCTCGGGAAGTGTCCGTGCCATGCAGACAGCCCCCAGTCCCCGCAGTGGCTGTCCTCGTCCACACTCGCTGGCCATCCTGCTGTTTCAAGGTGGCTTCTCGTGGGGTTTTGGGCCGCTTTCCCCTGGTGGCGATGGTGTCTCCCGCCTCCAGCCCATGTGTGCCAGCCACATCCCCGGAGATATGTGAGATAGAACGGGCTCCCTTGGGCCTAGGGCTGCTGTCCAGTGCCAGAACCCTGCCAAATGTCACGAGCGCTCTCAGACGCCCACCAGGGAGGAGCCCTGGGAGCCGGTGTGGGCAATGCGCGGCTGGGGGCAGGCTGGCCAGCCCAGGCCCACGCTTTTTCTCTCCCCAGGAGACAGATACTGGGTTTTTAAGGACAACCACGTGGAGGAAGGGCACCCGAGGCCCATCTCTGACTTCGGCCTCCCACCTGGCGGCATCGACGCTGCCTTCTCCTGGGTCCACAGTGACAAGACTTATTTCTTTAAGGACCAACTGTACTGGCGTTATGACGAGCGCACGCGGCACATGGACCCCGGCCACCCGGCCCGCAGCCCCCCGTGGAGGGGCATCCCTAGCACCCTGGACGACGCCATGCGCTGGTCCGATGGTGAGTGGCAGGGGCTCAAGGGGCAGGGTGAGCTGTGGCCCTCAGTGACCACTGGGGAGTGGCCGGTTGGGAGGGCTCCTGGCCCGGGGAACTTGCCTGTCCCCCCTCCCAGGCCGCAGGCCCCGCCACCACCCGCCCCCACCACCACCACCACTCACCCAGACCCCAGCCTCCTGCTGCTCCTCATACCCAGCCCCTGTCATTGGGGCAGCCCCGACAGGAAATCCCTTCCAGCACCTAGAACAGCTATGCCTAGTAGGTTCTCTTGATTATCTAGGAAGGAGACAAGAGGCCAGCTCACCCTCGCTTCAGGCAGCTGCCCCAGAGCCCCTCAGGCCTTGGGGCTTGCAGTCTACTAGGCGGCCCCCAGGGCCTGAGCAAGGCCCTAGAGCAGGAAGTACTTTGTGCCCATCCTGCTGCCCAGCAGACCCCAGCCCAAACTCAGCCACCCTGCCTTCCCCAGGTGCCTCCTATTTCTTCCGAGGAAAGGAGTACTGGAAGCTGCTGGACGGGGAGCTGGAGGTGGCGCCCGGGTACCCGCAGCCTGCCGCTCGGGACTGGCTGGTGTGCACAGACCACCAGACCACCCCCAAGGACTCGGCCGTGCCCGGAGAGGCCGGGGCCCAGTCGCAGCCAGGCCAGCCAGGGCGGAGCCGTTCTGAGGACGCCTACGAGGTCTGCTCCTGCACCTCCCAGGGCCCCCCAGCCCCTCCGCTGGATGTTGTGTTATTGCTGCTGCTGCCAGGCCTGCTATGGATAGCGGCCTGGGTTCTGGGGCCCTGACGCTGGGGGGTGGCTGCTCAGGACATCCTGGGTCACAGCAGGAAAGGACAAGACGCAGGGAGAGAGCGCCCCCTGCAAAGTGCGTGGGCGCCCGCAGATGTTCTCTCTCCTGGTTGTGTCTGTGAGTTGGGGAGACTGTTGGGCAAGGTGGGGTCTGAGCACTCAGGATGGGACTGATGAGCCGAAAACACCCACCAGCCTCCCCAGCTGGAAGGACAGCCTGGGCGCAGACACCACCTCTTCCCGCTGTGTGCACTGCCCCCATGGGGCCCTTGTGCCTCAACTGGCTCCCATCCCCGGGGTCTGCAGGGGCCTTGCCTGGGCTTCCCCACTCTCAGGCCAGCCCCAAGGGGCTTCATCCCTCCCCCTTTCATCTCAGATGGACCCAGCCTCATCCTCTCCTTGCTCTAAATGCTCAGGCGCCAGCCCCTGACTCCTGGGTGGGTCTGCCCCACGCCCCTCTGTTCATCAGCACTCCATGTCTCCAGGTCACTAACCTATTTCACTGAGGCCAGCGTGGGAGACAGGTTGGACAGGTCGGGCCTCCTGTCCAGGCCTGGCACACCCGCCAACACTGAGTCGGGGGTGCCTCCCTGACATGAGGCTGCTGTTCATGCTACTAGACCTGCAGTGAGGCAGCCTCCATCCTGGGCTGAGTCACAGCTGCACCCCAAAGAGCTGCCCACCAGGTGGTACAGAGAGGCAGCTTCACCCTTTGCCCCTGCCTTCCTTCAGCCCTCTCTGCTTGTCCACCTCCCTGGCCAGCATCTCCCTGAGGTGTGTGGACTTGGGGCCCCTCCCAGGTCATGTGGGCTGATCCCAGGGTAGTAGACCATAGCTGGGGTCGAGGCCCTTAAGGTGCTGAGCACGGAACCTGGTGGGCTGGGTGGGGCAGGGCCACCATATGTGTTAGCCTCTCCAATCCCACCCAGTGACCGGTGCAGGCTCGGGTGCGGGAACATGAGGGAGACAAGCAGTGGCTGTGGGCAGAACAGAAGGAAGGGGCAGGCCGGAGAGTAATGACCAGTGCAAAGTCTTGAGGTCTGTGGGTTTGCTCGAGGAACCTGCTGGGCAGATGGCCTGGCACACCCCCACCAGGTAGTGGAGGCAGGTCTTGTGCTCGTGGGCCTGGCGACCCCTCCCCACGTCCACCTGCCATCTTGTCCCAGAGCCAGCAGGGAACCTGTCGCTGCAAACAGGACAGACTGGCCTTGCCCTGGCACAGTCCACTCTGCCCAGCCCAGCCCCTGGAGCAGGAAAGCCCCCTAGCCCTGTTGTGCTTGGGGGGCAGAGGGGCTTGGAGAGTGTTCACGCCTGGCTGCAGCCATCATCTGCCAGGCCAGGCTCTGCCCTGTGGGCCTCACGCCCTGGTCAAGCCAATCTCGCTCAAAACATTCCACCCGTCTAGGGCTTGAGCACTGGACAGCCGCATGGCCGGGCTCCTCCATCCCCATTCAGGTCTCCAAGGTGTTGGAGTGGATCCTGAGGGATGCAGCTGGCCCCTGCTTCTGGCTAAATCACCCGAGGAACAGCCCTCCATGCTTGTGCCCCCGCCCTGTCCTCTGCCTCCTGCCCAGCGTCCCTGTCGTGCTGCTCAACCCACCCATTCTCCCCACCTGCCTTGGCCTTCACCAGCCCCAGGCAGTGTCCTCACCACCAGACTCCTCTCTCTGGGGAGGGCAGGGCCAGGTGGCTCCATTGAAACAGCTGGAAATTCATGCGAAATTCTGGACTTACTGTCAGTGTCTCTATTTCCACTCTGGGCCATGCTGTGGGGAGAGGCTGTGTCCTCTAGGGACCTTGGTCATGGGACACCCATGCGCACCCCAGAGGAAGCAGCTGCGCTGGGCAAGCCCTGCACCTTGGTGGGCCTGGCTGCGTGCTGACCTCCACATGACCAGGGTATGACCAGGCGTGAGTGTGGGTGCCTGGAGTCCAGGCCCAAGGGCTGCCTGGGACTAGACGCCTCTCTTTGGGCTCCCACCTAACTGATGGAGAAACTGAGTTATGACTGCCCCTGGTTGGCCAAGACCAGCCACCACAGACCCGAGTCTCAGGGGTTGGAGGCCACTCCCTGGGTGAGTGCAGGGTGCCCCTGCCTACCAGGGCAGCTCTGGACACTTCCTTTCTGCGGATCCAGTGGGCCTCACCCTCCCGAAGGGGCCTTAATCTTCCCCACCATGGTGCTGCTTGGATGGGCTGGACCCCCTGACCCCTGGCCATACCCCTGCCCCTTTCGGGAGGTTGCCAGTGGGGAATGCATCCCCCCAGGATTCACCAAGAGGATACTCTCTAGTGCCGTCCTGAGCTCTTAACCAAATGCTTTTGGTTCCGGATACAGTTGGGAGGAGAGGGTGGGCAGTGCTTCCAATTCCTGGTGAGGGTCCGGCTGGGGAGTCACCTTGTGTCCCAGGGTGGTGCAGCCGGGGCCTCCATGCTGGGTGCTCACAGGGCGCAGCCCCCTCCAGGGCGCTGGGAACCCAGCACACAGCCCCAGCCAACAGCAGCTGTACAGATTTCAGCTACAAATCGGGGCCCTCTTTCTGTGACCACAGTCTCAGGGCTGCTGGGTTTGGGGGTGCGGGTGGGGCAGTCCATCTCAGGGAGTAGCCAGATGTTCAGCTCTCATTCTAAGACTAGGGAGCAAAGTCCCACTGGGGCTGGGGAGCAGCCAGCCCCAGTACAGACCAGCTCCTCGGGGCCAGGGCCCAGTGGCCCCCTCAGCTGCTCCTGTGGGGGGCTCCATATCGCCTCCTCACCACCTGTCTGCCCCTCAGAGGCTATTGGCTCTGCCTTCCTGACCACCCAGAACTTGCCCCTGTCAAGCCTGGGCCTGAATATCTGGTGGCCCCTAGATTGGCCCATGGGATGCTGTGAAAAGCTCCATCAGACCAGGGCCCTCTGGACTCAAATCCCCCGTGCCCTGGCCCAGTTCCCATGGCCTTGCTGTGCTAACCGAGTCCTTTCCACTGAGCTCCAACCCTCCTGGCCTATCGCCCTCTCTGCACACCCAGCCGGACCTTTGCACAGACAGGTGGGTCTCCTTGGAGCAATGCCTCTGCCCCTGCCCAAAGTGGCAAACAGCACCCCCTGACACTCCAGCCCTGGCCCCCTTCCCACTGGGCCATGTCCACCTAACAGATGACCACACTGCCTTGAACCCACCTGGCTCCAGTGTCTGCTGAGCAAATAAACCAATGACAGCAATGCCTGGGTGGCTGTGCCGGGGGGTGCTCCTGCGGCCTTAGCAGTCCTCGACAGTGCCGACCTGGAAGTCAGCTTCACAAGATGACCTGCTAATTTGTCATCCAGGCCAGGACACAGATGTGAGGGCCCAGGCGTTCTCCCCAGGAATGGACATGGTATCTGAGGAGACCCCGACCTCCCACTGGTGGACTCCAGTGTGGGGCGTGAACCTCCCCCACCTGGTGAGCATGAGGCAGTGGCTGGGTCTCAGTCGGTCAGCAAGGTCAGCTCCCCAGCAGGGGCCTCAGGGCACCCATGGGAAGCCACATGCTGACCTGGGCTTCGGTGTGGGCCCAGCACAGCCCCTCCTGTAAGGCACAGGGAGTTGCACCTGCATTGGTGCCAGGACTTTGCACCACGAGCACAAACCCTGTGTGAGAGGGAATCCAGAGATGATAGGTGGGGTCTGCAGTGGCCAGCACTGGGCACGTCTGAGGGCCCCACCCTGAGTGGTCCTCCCAGGTGGCAGCTGCGGCCCCTTACGCAATCCCCAGCTTGGGGCCCCAGCCTGCTCCGTATCTCCTGGACTCTGCCCTTCAGGAATCACCCCCACTCCAGCCTCCAGCTGCCCCCTTTCCTGGCTTGATCCTTTTCTTTTTTGCTCAGATTGGTGGCTTGAGCCACAGATTTTTATTATGGGTTGTGTCTGTGAGTCCTTAATTACACCAGCCCCCGCTGTTTCCCTACACCTTTGCTTGGATGGCCAAGGGGGACAGCAAGAGAGGGGGTGGAGAACAGTTGGGGGTGAGGGTGGGCCACAGGGTCTGACTGAAGCCCTCTCCCTCCCCCCAGGGGCAGCCAGTCATGCTCTTGGAGGGTGTGCGGGTTAGGTGGAGCAGGTATGGAGGTGGGAGGTGGAGGCGGTGCACGCAAGCCGGAGGAGGCTTAGCCGTGACGTCAGGGGGGCCGTGGGGCAGGGCAGCAGGAAGCAGCGGACAGGAATGAAGAGGTGCAGCCACCATCCCAGCCAGAGTGCCTGGTCTGAGTCACTCGGGCGTGTGGCTCCCACTGCCCTGTGACCCGACACGAGTGATGTGGGCCAGCGTGCAGCAGTAACAGCTACAGCTCAGCAGATGTGCTGGCTCCAGGGCCCAAGCTCCCATAGCAATCACCACGTGGGCACACTCTGAGAACCTGGGCTGTTTCCCGCCCAGCTCCAACTCCCAGCAGCAGAAAGATGGACCCCAGAGGCCCAGATCTGGGAAGCAGCCAGCAGCCTGCTCCCAGGGAGGGGCCCCAGGAACAGATGAAGCAGCCCCCTGGCTGCATCCGGCCTAGGGCAGGCAGAAGCCCTCTGACCCCCCACAGACTGCAAGGTGCCGGTATGGCTGCCCACCGAGTCTGCAGGCTGGGGTCTGCCTCTGCACAGCTGCTCCTCAGTCCTGCAGGCCCAGCCTCTGCAGGTGAGCTGGAGCCACCCGGGCCCAAGCTTCTGTTTCTCCCCTAGAGGGCTGTCCTGCGTGTCTGCTGTGCCCCAGACACAGCCCCTAGAGGCCCGGGGGAGGTCCCTCCAGTATCCCTCCACAGGTACAGCCCCACCTCACCAGCCAGTACCTGGGGAAAGGAGGTGGCTGTTGAGGGCTTCCACGTGGTCCGCTTGTGGGGCTAGGGCTTGGGCTGGACCAGGTTCTCAGGCCCTTTCCTGCTGGCGCTCCCATCCAGAGAGGGTCACCAGATGAGCCATTGTGAGTATGGTGGTGGCACATTCAGGGGCCAGAGAGCCAGAAGACAGGGCTGCGCCTGTGCAACCAGCAAGAACCAAGGGCAGGGTGCCGGCCCAGAGGACCCAGGACCCCTTGGAGACAGATACAGCCCAGTGCCTCTGGGGTCTGCTCTGTCCATGTCTGTGGGTTCATGCAGACAGGAAGGCAAGGTCACGGGGCAGCATGGGGAGGACCCTGGGGGAAGGTGCTCAAACACCTCCAGAACTGGTCAGTGGAGCTGTCTCTGGGTGGGAGCCCCATGCCTGCTGACTATGGTGGCCACCAGGAAAGGGTTCCAGTCAGTCATCGTGGCAGCTCTGGCCCCACCAGTCATAGGGGTGCGGGGCTCATGGCTGCTGTCAATGATGCCTGGCGGGTCATTGGCGGCTGGCAGCTGGTGTGCAGCCTCCCCCGACCCCCCTTCAATCCAGTCACCAGCCCACTAGCCCATGGCCAGCATTGGAGGCGCTATCCCCAGGAAGCCCCGCCTGAGCCACCCACCTGTCCCCACTGCTCACACAGCGTCCCAGACACACACTGTCTGAGCTGAGTGTCCCTCAGGTGGATGAATGAAGGGGTGTGACATTGCCCCAGAATGTGCCATGCTGCCCAGCAGGCCCCACCTTTGGCCCCCACCTCTGGTTTGGGCTCTGGGGGCCGTGTCCAGCACCCCTGGCCTCACACCACCCCGTCTTGCCTGTGCCACTGTGGTCTGCCTCCCATTCTGAGAGGAAATGTGCAGACCAGATGGGAGCTACCGGCCCAGTGCCCACTGGGCTCTGAGCTAGACAAGACCTTGTGTAGCTGGTTGGCTCGAAGGGCTAGCTCCCAGCTGGGGTGTCTGGCCCAGGCCCTCCTGAGCGGGAAGTTCAGACCCGCTCTCTCACCTGCACCCAAAAGCCCCCCTGGGGATTCATCTGTTCAGCCATATGTTGAGGAGGTGGAGGAGAGCAGCCAGGCCAGGCCTATGCAGCAGCTCTCTCTCTCTCTCCAGTCAAGGGGCACCTGCCCTTTGGTGTCCCCAGCCCGTAGTTGGCTGGGGGCAACTCTTGCTAAGGCTGAGCACCCCTGAAGGACAAGCCTCTGGCAAGAAAGCCTGCTTGGCCACCCACTCCTGGCCGTGGGTGCCATGGGGAGCCCATGAATTGGTGGTCCCACAGCCAAGAGAAGCGATTCAGTGCCAGAGGCCGGGCTCTGGAGGGCCTCCCTGTGAAGCCTGCATAGGGCAGCCTTAATGCCCACACCTGCTTCCCGGCCCTGGGCCCTGCCTTCCAGGGTGCCTCAGCCCTGACCTGAGGGAGGGGTCCCTGCTCCCTGGGGGTGGGTTACTCATCTGGACACCAGCTGGGTCAGTGCGCAGAGTGGTCCCCATGCCGCTCCCCAGGTCACCATCTCCCCTCCCCTCCCTCTGGTCTGACACTTTCACTGACAAGAGGAGCCCTGCTATGTGCCTTTTGACCTCACACCATTTGAGGTCTTCCTTTGAGCAATAAGAGTAAGTCCCCTACCCAGACTCCAGGCAGATTTCCAGGGCCTTCCCTGGGCAGGCCCATCTCCAGCTGGGCTCGGTTCCCTGCATGGAAGTCTAGGCCTGCTGCAGGGGCTGCCTTTGTCCAGGATTAGGCCCCTTCAGCTTCTTGTCAACCCTCTGTTATTGGGTACCTTTGACTTTCCCCCTCTCTGAGCCACATCAGTAAGAGGCACTTGGGTGGGGCCCCATTCTCTCT